GGGGGGGGGGGGGGGGGGGGGCAAAAGAAACAGAATGATGGCTTGAAGGAGAAACCTATTGATGGCTTTTTCCTTCTTTTTGTTTCCATTACAAGACATGATCGGTTACCTCAGCGACACTCTTGTGTTCTGTCTTTCTTCTTCTTCTTCTTCTTCTTCCCCATGCCCGTGACCGTGAGAGAGATTTCCGAATCTCTCCACATTACTTCACTTTCTCTCTCTAACTCAGGCATGCTCTCTCTCTCTCTCCGTCTCTTGATCCCTTTTCTCTATCTGTTTGTAAATTTTCTTTCTTCTTTTGCTTCTTGTTAGTTTTAGTTCTTTCTCTGTTTTGTACCAGTGTGTGTACTTTTGTTGGAGTCTCTTCTTTGACTACTATTTTGGTTTTTTTCCGGCTTTACTAGATTCGTTTTCGTCTTTTTAAGCTGCTTCGATTCGAAGGCTACGATTGAATCTGCTTGCTAGCATCTTTGGGTTTTTGTTGCTCTTTCTATCTATGTCTACGAGATCTAAATTGGGTATGTTCAAAGTTTCCAAATTTTGCATGTATTGTTCTTGTTGCGAAGCTTGATCTGGATCAGTGTTCGAGTACCAGTCCACTTCGGATCAAATAGGGTGTTTTGTCGGCTGTCCTAGGGCTTTGATTCTACAGAATCAATATCTACTCTTTGGGATTATCCATAGGCTCAAATTGGTCCAAGATGGGCACCAATCCTTTCTAAGTTTATGGGATTTTGTTCGTTGGATCTATTCGATTTGATTGGGATTCTGATCCGTTGCTAGAAATTCTTTGCAAAGTTCTTAACTTTGATTCGGCTTGCTTCCGACAGATAGAAAGCTTCAGACTTTCGTGGCGTCTTGGTCTTTGGAGGAATTGTAGCAAACATTTGATCGTTAATCCGTGATATTTTTTGAAGTTTTGGGCTGTGGATTTGATAAAGTTTCTGTGTCTAGTCTTCTATGCGTATGAGTCTTTTCATATATGTCCGAGAATTATTCTTATCCGGCCAATGTTCTGCTGTATGATGATGCTCTACGACATGATGGAAAACATAACTGTTCTTTAAGACAGCATGTTTGTTGCTTTGCTTATGAAATAGAGGAGTGAAAGTTTTAATCTTTCCGTGAATGTTTATTGATTTCAGAAGTTCCGATCTCACAATGGGAATAGCATAGATATGGAAGTCGGAAAAGGCGTTGAAATGGAACATAGCCCTGACAGCGTTCTTCCGCCTCCCCATCCCTTTCGAGATTCAGAAAAGAGGAACACGAGATTGAAACCACCTCGTAGAGATGAAATATTGAGGGTCAAAGAAGGCTTTACCGAGATAAGCTTCAGGCGCTACCGGAGCTCATCTTGTAAGAATTTCTCTTCTAGGCCTCTTGTGATGGGAGATAGCATGGAACAAAGGAGAGGTTCTGTCTATCAAAGCTCTAACGAAGCATTCAAGGAAACGAGATTCTCGGGAAGTAATGAGGCAAAGGCGAAACTCGAGCTGTCACGTGCTAGTGATGCCTCTTTCTCGTTCAGAATCGTTGATTCTTCCAGAACAGGGAGTGCCGGGAGAAGCCCACAGAACGATCTTTCAGATGAGCCGAAGTCTGCAGCCAGTAGCTTTATTGACATTTGTTTGAACTCGGGTATCAAAGACAGGGCGGCGGTGTTGGATTCAGATGATGAACTGAATGTCAGATGTGATGAAGCAGCCGGTCCTTTAAACGAATATAATCACCACAAAACAAGATTGCCTAAGTCTCAGTCTGCAAAAGTAGAGACGCTTTCAGTCTCTCCATCAGAAAGCAATTGCAATAGGGAAAGCTCAAGGGCTCAGTTTGGTCATATTAGGAAAATGTTTGATCCATTTGTTAAATCAAAGTCTCTGAGAAGTCCCCTTGGGTACTTGGGAGAATCAAGAGAGTTCAAAGTTGAATGTACAGAAAAAATGTTGAAGGGAAGTGATCATTGCAAAGCATTGTTCAGTGAAAACTCAGAGGATCATGAAAAATTGTATAACAGTCCTGCAGTCATGAATAAGGATCGTACGCTAGCTCTGATATCTTCCCCTGTTCATCTGCATGCTTGCCTTAAGCTGGAAAACAAAGATGGGTTGCCAGTTTTTCGGTTTTTCTTGGATTCTCCTGAGGAAGTTTATGTGGCAAAAACATGGAAATCCAATAACGGGTCCAAATGGACGTATACGTTTTCCTGCGTTGGAAGCAGAAAGAAAAGCAATGCCAGTGTTTGGGGTCTGAACGATTGCAGCCGAGAATCCTCACAGGTAGGTCAGATGCAAGTTTCCTGTTACACGTGCTTGGAACCAAGAAAAAATGGTCAAGACCCAGATAAACTGATGGTAACCGAGTTTGTTTTGTATGATATTGCTCATGCCAGACGAAGTGTTTCTGCACAGGAAAATTCATCCCGACCAAAAGATACAGTTAAAGTTTCGAAAAGTTCTGCTAAACCAGACTCGAGTTCAGGAAGTAGTGAACCAGAAGATGGTTCTGATGTAACAAAGCAGAGACTTCAGCCCAAGAGTGCATCTGAAAGTTTCGATCTTTATGCTTCAAAGGAACCAAAACCATGGCCAGATGCAGATTTGCATCCTGACCTCGAAATCGCGGCTATAATCATTCAAGACCAAATCGGGAAGAGAGAAAGCTTAAAATATAGAGGAGGCGACCAAAGGGTCACAGACAAGAGGAATCTTCTCAGTCTTTCTCCGATTGAGGAGGGCAAGAAATACTTTTGTGGAAGCAGAAGTCCGGAAAAGCTAAAGGTCATAATCCCGAGGGGAAACCACGGCATACCAACTTCTGAGTACAGTGGTCCTTCACCTTTGCTTCAGAGGTGGAGTTCGGGCGGCGGTTGTGACTGTGGCGGTTGGGATATGGCTTGCCCTCTTGTAGTTTTTGGAAATTCCAGTCTCTCATGTTCTCATGATCAGCCTCTTATGGGCAATCACCATCCATTGGAGCTATTTGTCCAGGTAAAAAAAATGGACCTTTACTCAATGGAACACAATTTTGCTATTGCAGAACTGCTCCAATCTGATATTTTGTCTTCGTAGGGAGCTAAGGAGAACACACCAGCATTGTCCATGACATTTGTCAAGGAGGGACAATATGATGTCCATTTCCATGCACAGTTATCAACACTGCAAACGTTTTCCATCTGTGTTGCCATACTACATAACTTGGAAGCTCCAGGTGACTGTAGAAATGGCGAGAACATACAGTTGTCTCAGTGTAACTCACTGAAAATGCTTATCGAGGATGAAGTCAAGTGCTTAGTTGAAGCAGTAACTGAGGACGAGAAGCAAGTCACCAAGCCTGTGAAAGGCAGTACAGCCACTCTCCAATCCTACATGCCTAACCCTCCCATCTCACCAATATCCCGAGTCTAGTCCTCAAGGGTTGTCACTGTTGAAAATACGTTAAATTCATTCTCCTTGAGGCCCTCAGGTTTGCTCTTCAAGATGGCGATTAGAAGAGAAGGGTGGTTCCCAACTCCAGAAAGCACAGCCATGAAGGAGTGGATTCTTTGGACAAAGCTTGAGCATGGGACCGGATATTCTGCATTCGCCAGTCTGAAGAATCCTTCTGAAGGGTTATCGGAGAGGCGAGAAATTCTTTGATGTGTCATTTATTCATTCTTATGAGTAGGGTTGCAGGGTTTAATCACAATATACTGTTCATATTGTAGCTTAGCAAGGAAAGGTACTCAATTGGGTTAGAGGTAGAGTCCATATTCAAGAAATCAGGTCAAGGGGTCTTGATAGATCTCTGGAAAAGTTTTGCATCATGTAATGAATAAATGGGTCTTTCCCTGTTCCCCTCTCAAAAACCAAGTTGTTTCCACAAATGAATACATGAATTTGATCTAATGAGCAATTGCACAAAGAGACAAGAGTCCCCTGAGATCAGACCACCGTGCATAGGAAAACACAGTTGTGCTGTGTTAAAACCCAAAACTTGTTTTTACTATGTAGCAACAAACCTGTGTTTGGAATCTTGTTTTTACTACATCAAATGGGTTTGTGAAGAAGGCAGCAGCAGATACTGCCGGTTATCTGCAGATGAGCTGCAGCAAGCAAACATCTGACATATCATCCAAGCAAACCTGAGTCACCATACTCAAATAAAATGGAAAGAACACTTGAGGGAATCTGATAAAGTGCAGAAATTTCATGGAAGGGGGCAGGGAGGAGACAAACAGTTTGTAATGTTTTTGGGTTGAGAACAGAGCAGTAGCAATAAAGCTGTCATCAGAAACCCATAATGAATCTTTAATCCAAAACCATTCTCTTTTGCAAGAACCACTGAGAGATGTAGCCTTGTTAGTCTTCATAAACCAAGCAAAGAAAAGATCGTAACTTTGGCAACATTGGTCGAAGATTTTGATCTTCTCAGTCACCTTATGGAACAAATGAAAGCGGATGTAATTGATCGTGAGAGAGAGTTGAGGGTGCATTTCCGAATTAAAAAATAGTAATGGGGCTATTTTGAAATTTTAAATGTTGGAGAACATATGTGTTTCTTACGCACCTTTGGTACACCGGAAAATTAATTTCCTGGAGATGGAGGTCGGAGCTAAAACAGAGGTGGATCCATCGCCGGAGGCGGAGAATGAATCGGCTGCAGATCCACCGTACACGTGTCAGGCGGAGGAGATGGAGGAGGATGAAGGCAGCGGAAGATCGGAAGCGCAGTCATTGCAGAAGGGGGATATGTTGAGAGCTCTTGCGACGGTCGAGAAGGATTCGCAGGCGATCGCTGAGAGCTTCTCGTCTCTCTTTGGTTCTCTCCGATCGGCTCTCTCTGAGGTCAGATAACGCTTGTTTGAACAGATTTTACTCGTCGGGTTTCCGTTTGGTTACCGAGAAAAGTTGAAGGGAAAATGTGAACTTGTGGGAGCATTAGGTTTTTATCTGATTCAAACGATTTCTTGAAACCTAGACTTTTTATGTTGCTGAATATAGCTTTGGATTAGAGGACTTTGGTCTATGGATTCTTGATCCATGAATTTTCATCAGTGCCTTGTTTGATTTCCAAGAGTTTAGTGGTTCCACGGCTTGATGCTTATGTTTGGATTGATCAAATCACTTGCTCCACTAGTTAAGGTTTCTTTCTGTACTTTGATTACTGATGAATTCTTGGAACAGTAAGATCATGATTCGGATAGCTTTTGCGGGAAGCGGAAAGTTGAATTTGAGCCTTGTAATGCCCAATGAAAAAGAGCTTGAAAATGCTGCTTTGTTTGAATGAGCTATATTTGGTAAAAGCTTCTTCTTTTGTGTGGTTTATGAAACTTGCATGACGGGTTTATAGGCCACTAGTACCTCAGTCGATCACATGCAGTGCTTTGGCGATGCAGCAGGACGGCTTCAGGAAACCAGTAAGTGTCGAAACAGCCTGTGGAAGTTGAAGCTGAATATGGTTTTTGGTGTTAGATTCAAGTTGCCATATACATGAACTATATATTCCACTCAACAAGGGAGTCGAATTGTATTCCTTGCCCTTAAAATCTATGCTCCACCAACTTAGATATGTGAACTGTTCAGAGTCAAATACAGATTTGTTTCCTCGAAACTGAATGAAGCAGATGAACTTTTTTTATGAGATCTCGAAAATGTGTTTTCTTGTGTTTCTGATGCTAGTAATGCTAGATTTCTGTACTCGCTATCCCCACATCATTCACCAAAACAACATCGCCTTAATCCCAAGTTTAGTTGAGGTCGTCCGTATGAATTGTTCGTTTCCATTCATTTCGATTTTGGGTTAAATCTTCTGAGAACATCATTATATGTAAGGTATGACATTGGTTAGTTTTGTTGGTTGCCACCTACCACAAAACCCCTCCTCCTTTATACGGACTTGGGACCGGCTAGGCAAGAGCGAACTCATGCCTAGGCGGAGTTTGTCCCACATCATTCAGTCGAGAAAAAATTAGATGACTAAATCATCCGTTGATGTTGCATCAATGCACCCAAGCTATTTCCAGAAATAATTGTTCTGTAATGTTGTTTCAATTAGTAGGCTGATCTTATGACCTTCTGTTTGAGATATGCTCCATTTCTTTTTCTTCACTATTTGCAGCTCTAGATGCAGCCACCAAAGGCAATCGGTATATCAACTCTTGCCTCAGGTACCTCCATAATGATCAAATACTCGTCTATTTGATCAAAGATATTGCTTTTCACTAGCTGACATCCAAACTCTAATACAATACCTGTATTTGCATGGATTCATGATTGTGTAACTTTGAATGCAGACTAAATGAGGAGATAAAAGGCACGGAGAATCTGGCAGCTCGGCTGTATCCTTACCATATTGCTTTTGTTCCATTTTAGTCTCAACTGCTCGGACTTGGCACGCGTTCATGTTCGTGCATTGACAAGAACATCAAAATCTGCACCCCAAAAACCAAACGCCTAGCGCTAAATTCTGGATTTGTCGATTAATTCTAGTACATAATCCGTCAACATTCCTTAGCAATCTATTCACAGAAAGCTCCTGAGGAGAAATGTAGACGCTCTTGATACGGCCGTGAACAAGCTTCTCCGGCCTCCATGAGAAGTTTCCACAAACCACCATTTGACCGATTTTGATTAGGTACATAATGAATCAATGATTGCTCTCAAAACGCTTGTCCATGCAAATTTGTAATACCCTTTTTGTGTGTGACTCAGTTTTTGCACAAATCCTTCAAACTGAAATTGCTCTGTTCCTGTACTCTCTCTTTGGAATCAAGTGTGTTTTTTAGAGTGTTCTTACAAGAAAAAAAACAGTGCGAGGTCACATGTCATGCAATATGTATGTATGCTTGAATATATATATATATATATATATATATACATATATATATTTATTGTATGATTGAATGATGAAATTATTTGGTGACCTGAGACAAGAGGACAGAAGTGTGTCTCCGATGAGTTTCATCAAGCTCAAACGTGTTTTCCTCGTCATAATCTCACCCATTATTTGGATCACACTCCAACAGTAAAGTGGATACTTTTGTTAAATAAAAATCTATATAGCAAATAGCATTTTGATTTTAAAAAGCTCATAACACAATCATGGAATTTTAGCCCGAGGGTTATAAAATATATTTTGACAAATTTATTTTCCACGAGCGCCACAAGGGTTCCAATAAAAACCAATAACGTAAATTGTAGTATTTCAATTTTCTTTGGGTCTCAAAATGATATAACGTTTTTTTTTTGTTGGTAAAAAATTATCACTCCCAAATGCGTGAAAAAAAAAAAAATCGGCACAAAAAAAGGGTAAGCGAGTGAGGGTAGGGGTAGAATCGGAAAGATAAAAACAGAATAGAACTGTTCCCAATAGAAAACCCTAATATTCGCGCTCGGCCTCTTCCGTTTTCATAGCTCTCTCTCCTTCACGGCGCAGATTTGAGACTGGAGATTCGAGCTGCAAAGCCGACTTCCTTTGGTATCGCTACTCTCATCTCATTCTCCGGTTGAAACTTTTTCCCCGTGTTTTACATCGAATATCCAGTTTCCCCTGTGGTTTCGCTCTGTCGTATCTCGGCAGGTGATTGTTTTCTTGGTTTGATCTGTGTTGATGTATTTGGTTAGGATCGCTTTTGTGTTGAATTTACAAATTACGGAATTTGCAATGAAATATCAGTACTATGATTTGAATCTTTTGTGCTGCGTGTGTGTTCTGGGTGTGGTTCAAATTGTTTATACAAATGTTGAATCTTTTGGCCTGGGCGAGATTTGTTTGGTCCCTTTTCCGCTGGGGATGGCAGACATAATTTGTTTTCGGTTTTTTAACTGGATTATTTTCTGATGGGTTTGCCTAACGTTTGGTTGTTCCTCTTTGTGTCGTTGTGCTGCGAGGTGAATAAATTTTGATGCTTTGATAAATATTGAGTTAAATCAGCATGCATTTCAGGCTTATTGGTTCGTGTTTTTCCTTCAGCTGAAGCATGGCGACTTTTGCCAAGCCTGAGAATGCACTGAAGCGTGCAGATGAACTCATCAATGTCGGCCAGAAGCAAGATGCCCTCCAGGCGCTTCACGATCTCATTACCTCCAAGAGATACAGAGCTTGGCAGAAGCCTCTTGAAAAAATCATGTTCAAGTATCTGGATCTTTGTGTTGACCTGAGGAGGGGCCGGTTTGCCAAGGATGGGTTGATCCAGTACCGTATTGTTTGCCAGCAAGTGAACGTGAGTTCATTGGAAGAAGTGATCAAGCACTTCCTACATCTGGCCACCGAGAAAGCAGAGCAGGCCCGTAGCCAGGCAGAAGCCCTTGAGGAGGCACTTGATGTGGATGACCTTGAAGCAGATAAGAGGCCTGAAGATTTGATGCTTAGTATTGTCAGTGGGGAGAAGGGAAAAGACAGGTCTGACCGTGAGCTGGTCACTCCATGGTTCAAGTTTTTGTGGGAGACCTACAGGACAGTTCTTGAGATCTTGCGAAACAACTCAAAGTTGGAAGCTTTGTATGCGGTTAGTTCTTCATCAGATAAATGGTTACCTTGTTTCCTTCTAATTTTAAGTTGATTACTTGATTTAGATGTGCCTGAGGCATAAGAGAATGCTTCATTCTGCTTTTTGTAATCTTGTAGATGACTGCACATAGAGCCTTCCAGTTCTGTAAGCAGTATAAAAGAACTACTGAGTTTCGGAGGCTCTGCGAAATTATCAGAAATCATTTAGCCAATCTTAACAAATACAGAGACCAAAGGGACCGGCCTGATTTATCAGCCCCTGAGAGCTTGCAACTTTATCTGGAGACAAGATTTGAGCAGCTAAAAGTTGCGACTGAGCTTGGACTGTGGCAGGTGAGGTCTATGCCCATGTGTTGAATTCTCTGTACTGTTATTTTGTTACTTATGTATTCAATTTTTTCTATTTCCGCCCTTATACTGATTGCTATGCATTGGCTTGGTTTTCATGATTGTGCTACTTTTGTTTTGCAGGAAGCTTTTCGTTCAGTGGAAGATATTTATGGGTTGATGTGCATGGTCAAGAAAACGCCCAAGTCATCTTTGTTGATGGTTTATTATTCCAAACTGACTGAGATTTTCTGGATTTCATCTAGCCATCTTTACCATGCTTATGCATGGTTCAAGCTGTTTAGCCTTCAGAAAAATTTCAACAAGAACTTGAGCCAAAAGGACTTGCAACTAATTGCATCATCTGTTGTCTTGGCGGCTTTATCTGTTCCGCCCTTTGATCATGCTCTCGGTGCATCCCATTTGGAGCTTGAGAATGAGAAAGAACGCAATTTGAGGATGGCCAACCTCATAGGTTTCAATCTGGAACCTAAGTTTGAGGGCAGGGATATGGTAACATAATTCATTTTTGCTGCTGCTTTCTCTCATTATGTTCTTTGTGTTTGATTTCTGTTCTAATTCTATTTGTTCCTCCTCCAGCTTTCCCGGTCAGCGCTTTTATCTGAGCTGGTGAGTTTTCTGTACAGCTATAATGGTTGCAAATACGGAAATTTTTGCTTAGCAACATTTTCTATTTGATCATGGCAGTTTACTAACTATGGGAATCTGTTTATCCTTAGGTGTCTAGAGGCGTTTTGAGCTGTGCAACTCAGGAGGTCAAAGATCTTTTCCATCTTTTGGAGCACGAGTTTCACCCTCTTGATCTTGGTTCCAAGAGTCAGCCTTTGTTGGATAAGATTTCCAAACTTGGTGGGAAGCTATCTTCAGCCCCCTCTTTACCTGAAGTCAAGCTGTCTCAGTACGTTTCTGCTTTGGAGAAGCTCGCTACTCTCAGGCTGCTTCAGCAGGTATATAATTTGGTTGTTCTTCTTGCCATTGTTTCTTGCACTGGATATCTTTTGCAGACATGCATACTTAAAGTCCTTTGTCGGGAATTTTCCAGGTGTCACAGATTTATCAGACTATAAAAATTGAGAGTTTATCTCAGTTGATCCCTTTCTTCGACTTCTCAGTTGTTGAGAAGATATCAGTTGATGCTGTGAAGAACAATTTCACTACCATGAAAGTTGACCACATGAAGGGTGTTGTCATTTTTGGAAATTTGGTAAGCTTCTGTGGATGGTTTGTTCATGAAAGTTTAAGCCCTACTCCTGATCGAATTGTGTTTTTGAACTTACTGTCATGTTTAATCACTAACCAAATTATTTGTATCAGGGTATTGAGTCTGACGGTCTGCGGGATCATCTGGCTATTCTTGCTGAGTCTTTGAACAAAGTAAGAGCTATGCTATATCCTGCTCCAAGTAAAGCATCAAAACTGGGTGACATATTACCAACTCTGGGAGAGACCGTGGAAAAGGAGCACAAAAGGCTGATTGCGCGGAAAACAATTATTGAGAAAAGGAAGGAAGAACTAGAGCGTCATCAATTGGAAATGGTATTTGTTTTATGCAAACATCGTTCATACTTGACCTCAGGCCTGCTGA